CAGAAGAACGCTGAAAGTTTGTCCTAAATGTCAGCCTTCGTTCTGACTTTTCATCCCCTTCTCCCTCTCACACTCTCTCTCTCTCTCTTTAAAAAGGGAAACTCGGAACGATAGGTCGCTCGTCAAACTTTCGATACTTTGTACACTAATGGATTCGACGTTACGTCGTTTAACTCTCGGATGACAGACGTCGATTATTTCCAGATATTTCTCGAGAATCTTAATATCTTCGCAAAATTCGTTCCTTTTCGAATACTAAACGATCGAAATCTCGAGCAGCGCCAACTACGCATAGAGTTTGAAAGCGTTTCGATGGTAAAGAGGATGGATAGATCCTTTTAACCGGAGAATCAATTAAAAAAGCTGGGAGAAGGGTACCTACTTCGAACTGGGTTTACTCAGTGTCCAATATCTCTGTTGACATTTCCAGAGTGTTTTCTAAGGAAATACCCTTAAGTATTCCTAAGGAAATACTTACAAGTTTTTAGCGTACACTCGAGAATCTTAACCGGTAAGATTAGCATTAATTGCAAAGCTATCACAGTATCGCGATTAACGAATATACATCGATCAAAATCACCGGAGAATTTATTATTAATTACCTTACTCGCTATTCGATCTGCATCTTAAAGCCTCGAACTATGTCGAACGCGATATCATTTTGATTTCGCATATTCGATTTATTCGAAAGAGCATTGATCCGTGCAATTGGGAAAACTAATCGTAAAAACTCCGAAATGCTACCGGACGAAGCCTCGACCGACGCTATTAACCAGCAGCGAGTCCAAGAGTATTTCGTCGAGCGGCAGAGGACACGGATCAGCACATATGCGAAATGTTGCATGAGAAATAGCCATTCACGTTGAATATTATCCGAAGCATCGTCGCAAGGTGATGTCTCGATGACGTTAAAGGCGCGGAGTTAAAGGAAGGGAAAAGGAAGGAAGGCGAGCCCCGAGCGTGGATTCGCTCGGTTACGATCGATACCCGCCGCTTTCTAGGTCAGGGTCCCGATACACGTTCGCCATTCGCCACCGTTCGTCGTGGATGTATGCTTCAAAACGCGTCCCGCAAAATTCATTCGAAACCATCCCGGCGAGCCTCTTCTCCGATGAAACGAACAGTCGAAGCTTTTCCGTTTTTTCCTTTTCTCTTTCGTTAGCTCGCCGAACGACAGAGAAAAATCGAGAGAAATACAGAAAGGAAAGGGGAAAGGAGAGGAAAAAACGAGAAAGAGGACGAACAAGAGAAATAGGCGGCTGTTTCTTTCGCGGCCGCGTGACGATGAAAAAAAAAAGAAAAAAAAAAAAAATAAAGAAGGAAAGAACTTTCTCGTTTCCAGATGAAACGACTCGTTGTCGCACACAAACAGCGCCAGTACACACGCTTAAGAAACACGTTTGTGTCGAGAGGATATCGAACGGAAATCGCGTATTGAACCGATTCCCACGCAATCGAGATTAATGACGTTCTTTCGCGGGCACGTTCTCGTTGACCGAGAGAGGGAGAAAGAAAGGAAGAGGGAATAAGAGGAAGAAGATATATAACCACGATCGATCGAAGGATTTAAAACGGGAATCTGGATGATGTTGTCGCGGTGAATTATTGCTTAAATTATGTATATTCGGGGGATGAATGTAACGGTTGTAACAACGGATATCTCGATTGTTCGGATTCGTCGGAGGAAATGTACAAGGAATTTGCGTTCGAATCGTTCGGACCGAATATTTTCGAGAGTAAGCTCATCCGATAATGTTGGTATCGCGACGACTTTTAAGCGCTTAATAAATTCGTGTAAGAAGAAGGTTAATTACGATGAAATAACTTGATATCCAAGTATCCGCGCGAAACAGTTGTCTAATTGATGATCGGCCTTTTCTTTCCATTCTCGCGCGTGACCTGACCCATTTATATAACCGACCTCCGGTACACGTACGTGCACAGGCCGAAAATCAATTTCAACGTCGAGATTACCGGGTTACCTTCTGGATTAAGATTCCTATCGATCACGCCAGCCGCGATCCGCTCGTGTTTCGTTCCCAGGTTTAACAAACGCTCTCTCCTGAGCGGACAGTCGTACAAATTTCGTCGGCCGTGAAACGGTCGAAAACTCACGCGATCCTCTCTTACCGTAACGACTAATGATACCCCAAGGGCAAACTACGCGCGGGAACATATCGAAATCGTTCGCTCGCAGATTCGTTCCTCTACCTTTGCCTTTCGGGAGACGGACTTCCACAGGGCGAAGGTAAGGGGAACAACGCAGCCTAGACCGATCTAAGGGAAACGTAGACTAGGATAGTCTAATCCGAGGGAGACTTTCATCTGATCTAAGCTTCGGAAGAGGGAATTTTAGTGGACTTTTAGGTAATTTTAACCTAGATCCGAAGAACAGAAGTGGAAGACTTCGGATTCTCGAGTATCGTTCTCGTAAATTCTGTTTGCTGGTAAAAGATAAGTTAGCGCCATTATTGGAACGACAGGAGGAAGGTTATCGTTTATCGAGTCCGATCTTTCGTTATTACGCGTCCGCTGGCAAACAGCAACGTTGCAGAGGTCGCGCAGCCATGTAGAAAAAAATAATATCCTGGATTGGATTCTTTCAATGCGATCAACACACACGGACAATCTATGTATGAATACATAAAGAACGGAGGCGTCGGTAAAAACGAACGCGCTACGTATGTATTTACAATTTATTCACCAGTCACTGTCGAATCGTATCGCTGGCTGCTTAATCTGTTGACCCCATCGCTAGTCGATACACTAAGCGCGTTTATGTACGTATACATATACCGCAGTTGCGCTGATACCTCAAGGACATGCTTTCTTCGGTCGCTAATGAGGTTACAGATAGCCAAGAACCTTTACTTTGTTTAGTCCTGTGGCCTTTGTTCCGTTTTCGGGCATGAAACTTTGCGTTTTCAACTTGTTCTTCTTCTTCTATGTATGTACGTGTACAGATTTTCTCCATAAAAATAATCGATTCGTTAACTTACACGTTATCGGTATTTATCGGTAATACGCGAAACGTTGAACGGCGCGATTCCAAAGTGAAAGTTATCGGTAACCGCGAGAATAGGAGTCCGACTAAGGCTCGAGTTGTTCTACTGATTTCTAATTTCTATCGGAGGCCTGCTCAACCCCGCGCTTTTCGTGCAGTAATTTAATCGTGCAGGATAATTGCTCGCTTCGGGTATCCAAATTATGTCTATCGGACGAACGACCGCGTTGCGAGAAAACCCTTCGGCGAAAGGAGAACATCCTCTCGTATGTACGCGCAACCTATCGCGTACCGACAAACGTATATCTGTTTCCCTTAGTCAACAGAAATTCTACGGAGAGAGATGTCCTTTTATAACCCGTCGTCGTTCGTGTCTGATCCAAGTTCGGGTTCTTAGAACTCGAGCGTTAGGTCTATCTTTTCTATAATTATCCACATGCATTTTTATCTCCTTATCGTAAATTATCGTGTTTTAAAAGGTTAGTAAGAACTGCTATTCGAGAACTCCGCTGGAGATTTTCAAGCTTTCGCGCGGCCAAGTATCTAGCTCGTTACCCAGAAAACGCTGCGCCGGTCGAGCAGGCCCGTTCTACTACGTCCTACGTGCATCGAACGTTAAACCGTACGCGAGCTTCCAGGCACAACGTGCACGACATTGAACTTCTACCTTGTAATCGTCTACTACTTCCTATGTTTAATTACTTGGTACGACGCAACGATACACAGTCACCGGTCATGCAACCTAACCTTACCAGCACGATTAAACGAATAACGCGACTGTTACTACTCTTTACTACTCGAATCTATTTACATCGAGCAATTTTTCGTTAAGCTTCGATCGCTGTTTCGCATCTTCGGTTCTTTCGAATACTCCATATTCAAAGAATTATGGAAGTATCGAATCGGAAAACAGTTTACCTACGTATACAAACTATTCGAATAAGTTTCGATCGGAATTTTGAATTAACTGTATTCGTCTATACACTTGCTAGTTAGTTAATCGATGTTTGGTCAGGCAATTGTTCTGTTCTAAACTACTTTTTGATTCGTACAAAAGGTTATCTCGGTTCTCGTGGAAGGAAATTCCTTTTTTTTCCGAAGCACGTTCCGCGATCGAAGGGAACGTTTTCCGATACGTTTCACTGGGTTAGGAGCTTCGAGTTTCACCTGTCTGTCGATAGAGCCCCCGGAGCTCTTGATAAGTGTTCGCGCGACTCTACATTTAAAAGCACTTTTGTCCGACAGAGTATCCGAGAAGTTTCGTGATTCGTCGCAGAAAGGGTTACTTTTACCCGCGGTATCGCGGGTATAGGCAAATTCGATATGTTCAAACGACAGACAGGTGTATCGAAGATCGCGAACGCGTTGTCAATTATTACAGAACATTCGATATTTTAAGTCGGTCGATTCGTAAGAAAACAACTAAATAATGTCTTAAGATACAATCCGAGAGCGTATCGTCGGTTAAACCTGTGAAAAACCGAAGCGATCGTGCTCTCGAACGACTAGATCGGATACCTCGATCGATGAAAAACAATACTTAAATAGAACATTTCTATACGTAATACAACGTCTCATAAATAGTACAACATTGGTTGGAGGGAAATTTGAATCGATAACTGGTTTTATCGTATAGTCCCGTAAAGAGTAGCACGCAACCGAGCCAAAACTGATAATTCGAGAAGACGTCCAGAGAATTTCGTTCGTTCGGAAGCTATACGTAGTTGGTTCGGTCGGTGAAAACAGTCGCGTTCTAATCTCGACCGGTTTCGCTTTCGTTAAAACGAACTTTAATCGCTTTAATTACTTAATTGTCGGTACATTGTCGTTACTTACGAGACGAGGTTAACGTTTAAAAGGAAAGAAAAGGAAAGAAAAGGAAAGAAAACTAAATAAAATAAAAACATTTATTACTAGACTTAGCAACTAAGAGCGTGCTGATCAGCGCTAAAGGCAAAGCAGCAAGCGAGAGTGATAGAGTGTGGAGTTGGTATACCGGCGCGGGACTGACCGTCGTGGAGCGGATCGAGCGTGAGCATCATAAGCTGTAGCAGGCCGTGCCTGAACTTGGCGTGGCTCTCCCTGGAATGAGACGAGGGGCCACCACCGTGGGCTCCCTGTTCGCAGCCCTGTCCGGCCGTGCCACCGGCACCGCTGCTGCTGCCACCTCTGTTGCTGCACCCGGCCTCTCCGCCCGCCGGTATGCCGCTGCTTCCGCATGCACCCGACACGCCACCCACGCTCGTCTCGCTACTGTTCGTCGCGTTCGGATGCTGCTGGAACACACACGTCATTTCGTCTCTCAGTATACAAATCGACATTCCACCAATGCCTATACCTACGCTGTCAAATCTTTCCCTATTATCCCTTTACGCCTATTACCGAATACGTGTTTCGATCGAAACGACGTTGCTGAACTTCTCGAGTTCACGCTGAAACTCCTCGAGCGGCATCGAATCGGCAAAACGATGCTTAGATAAGCGAAATTTAGATACAGCGAAACAAAGTTTCTTGATCGTTTATATCGTTACAACGGTATGATAAAATATGCTATGATCGAATAAATGGCAAGGAAGATGATTCGTCTCGTTTGTTTGTCGAGGTTACGCCCACGCGTAATTTCCAACCTTTTAGGTCGCTTCCGGATAATCGAGCGACAACTTTCATACAATTCTGGACAGATACGTTATACGGTGGTTATTCTTTTGTTCGTTCGATGCAGACGAATCGATCGAATAATCGTACACAGATTTTAAACGTTAAACTTTCCGAGAAGCATCGCATACGTATCGCTGTCTGCACAGTAAATATTCCGACGAGTATGTACCGAAATGGAGAGAAATTCTATCGAACGAACCGCAAATATGGTCCTTGGTGATTCGGAGTAGAAAGTTTTCGAGTATACTTTGCGAGAATCTCGAAAATTTCGAAAATTGCGAAAATTGCGAAAACAAGAAAGATAAGGACGATAGCAGAAGGCGAAAATTAAGCGAAATATTGTAGGAAAGAAAGGAGCCAGACTGGATTTCTTTGTCGCGTGGTCTAATAAAACGCGTTGTTCGCGAGAAGTAGTATATTTTGCTGGCTTGGTCGGTGCTAAATAAACCGGGAGTAGCAACGAGCGCGACTCGTTGACGCGGTAAAAGGTAATTTCGGCTGGAAGAAAAATACCCGGGAGACTAGCTGGTCGTTGAAAAGCCGAGCTCGTATGAATGCGAAATTCGCCGAATTTTTCCACGAATTTTCCCGAAGAATTTTCTCGAAGGTGTTCACCGACACGACTTCATTTTTTTTTTGTTGCTCATCGATTTTTTCATCGTTTTAAAATTGCCATTTTCGATCGTAGCAAATAATGATTGAAAGACGGTAACGTTTATCGTCTTACACGGTAATACGGTGATAATTATTACGGCAACCCTTGGCCAACTTTTCCTTCGTTGTACCGGAGATCATGAAACACCTTATATAATCGAAAGAACGATACCGAAGGAAGTTTGTTGAATCAACAACATCTTAGACGCAACGAAACTCTTAATAAATCAACAAAAGTTTTGGTCGAGTCGAGGGCACTTTTCGGTAAAAGTGGGTCTCGGCAAGGAGCGTAAAGTACGCCTTCGGTTCAAACGAAACCTCTTTTTTTTCCCCTTTGCCGTTATTCCTTCGTCTTTCGTTTTCTTTCGACCCGTACCAAACTTACTCTATTTACGAGTCATCGTTTTCTCGAATATTACTTTTTACAAATTTGGAAGAATAATCGCACGCTAAAACCTAATATGCCGCTCCTATAAAAAAAGAACCCTATCCATTTCTCACGCTATTAGAAGCACAGTGCCGTTAGGCGGCTTTCTTTCATCTCGATTTAGCCTTAGGCTATTGCCTGGAAAAAGAATCCGAGTGTCTCGGATCAAAGGCGCGACCTTACGAGGGTGTCTTAGGCCGCATCGCTGTAAAGCGGTAAATGGCCAGAGTTAATTAGGATTACGCCTACAATTACTACACTGGCGAAAATACTGGCTTGGAAAAGAACTTGATAAGTGGGTCGATCAAGTACTAAAGCCTGCATCGAGAGAGTATACCGAAGCTATTATAGTATTATATATCGGATCGAGGGGAAATGACCAGCGGTAGAATCATGATAGACGATATTATAGTTCATCTGTCAGCCATTCGAGTATATCAACTACTTATAGAAATTACTTTGTCACGGCGTTATAGCGAATCGAGTCATTGTATATGATTATACGTATATTCATATAAGTATATGCATATATTATGATCGAAACGGTTTTTCTCTACCTTGATTTTCTCGTCCGTCTATATTTTACGCGAACTCGCTATAGCTTTCGAAAGAGAAGGTTTCTTGGTGGATTCGTTCCAACGGAGACGTCCTTCGATTTCCGCTGACTGTTCCTGTGAGACGGTATTTGCTCCGACCGTTGAAAATTCGACGAGTTCGAGCAGGAGCAGGTTAAAGGATCTCGAGTGGAACAGTGGGTCGAGTGGTGGAAACGGGTGGGGTCTATAGCAGCTTCCGAGGATCGTCGGCAAAAATTGGCAAAAGTTTCTAGGTTCGCTGTAACCCGCTCAGACGTGCATATTTCCGTGTCTGCGGAATACCGAATCCACCAGGAAACGTTACCATCCGTCCAGATAAAGCTGCGTTAGCTAAGAGGATTTAAGAAGCCAACATCCGTACAGGTTTCGTAGACTCGAAACGATGCGACGTTAAATATTTATCAACCGTGGAGTTCGAAAGAAATACGAGAAACCCTTTGTTATACATATACCACTCGTACGCGTACAAGTCGTTGAAAATCGATTATTAATTTCAAAGTGTGTACCGATTACGATGGAAAATAAATTTGCTCCAAAAGCTTTCGAGAGAACAATGAATTAGTTATTCGTTAAATTTGAATAATCCCTTTACGACTACGATCAAACGAACCCCGTAGAACAGGGATTAAGCCGTATTAGTATTTTTCACGAGACTAGCTACTAAGAATAAAAGCAAAATTTACCGCAAAAATAGTCAACGACCTTAGCCCTTATCGTTTTATTCGATCGAATTTGTTAGATCGATCGCAGAATCTTACGGGATCGGATTTCAACCTGGAAAATCCCTGACAAATTTCGATTTCGAGTACGTTCTAAGTACGAATCAAAGTCCAATAAACAGAGCGGAATAATATTCGACAGGCATATCGTGACGAGTTGCATTTGTTCGGATAAGAAAATCAAGCCACCCTGTAAAGCGGACATCGTATCACGGAAATGGGTGTGGTCATTTATTTCGTCGATCTCTTTTTCAACTGGAATAGACAGGATTAAAAGGGTGAATCGTGGTTAGTCTTAATCGCAAATGGACAATAAGGATAACAAAGAGGAAGCACTGGTTGGAATGGCTGACATAGGGTACACGTTAAAGGGTTGCGTGTTAAGCGAAGCGCACGAGAGGTAAGCAGCTTACTTGAACAGCTGACAAATTTATACGAGTTGGCTCAATTGTTGCTCCCTGCACTTCCTTCGCTCTCCCACCCTCTATATATTTCGCTTTCTCGAGCGAGAATAATTTAATTATCGTTCGAAATTCGTGAACGAACAGAAGGCTTTCTCGTAGCTGCAAGAAAATTGAAGTTTATTACCGTATCCGATATCTATAACCAACAAATTTTCAAACGGTTTAATCAACCTAGGGTATCGAGTCGATTCGACGGCGGTTCGACGGTGTATCGAACTTCGATATTAACGAAGGTTTTACAAATTTCCAAAAAGTTTGATAGTTCGATTAAGTGGAATAATTTGATAGGTCAGACTTTTAACGAACCTGTACTTATCGAATGAGTTGCATATCTAAACGCCATAAATATTCCTTTCCATTTAGCGGCAGAATAGTCGATCAACCGAATTCTAGTGCAACGAATAGAAAATTGTTTGCCGAATTGAACGCGGAGTTTAGTTTCGAATCAACTTCGACGTTTCCCAAGCCAGCAGGTGCACCAACCAATCGAATAACCGAATCGAGAGCCAGGCTCCAGAAACAATTCGAAACTTTCTAATCGGATCGCGTCGTTCGTGAAATTATTAATACCTACGGTAGTAAAATAACGATCGTAAACCAGCGGTGTTTACGTCGTAGCTAACGTTACTCTACCAATGGCGAAGTTAGGTTATTACCGAATCGACGTATGCTTTAAAGTCAAAGTTCCATCGCGTTGTTCGAGGAATTCATTTTTCTCTTGGCCGAAAATAAGCGTGTAAAAGTAAAGCGAAAAGTTTGATTTCGAAATGGCTAAAATTTACCTGCTTCACCGGGTTAACCTTAAACCGTTCTTGCGAGGAAGCGAATGTAACTATCGGGGATATTCGTCTGGTGGCGAGTGCAGGAAGTATGGCTACAATGTGTTTTAAAGTTTAACCCACATATTCCGGTGTAAAACGTCAGTCGGTCGGTTTTACGACGTTTCCAAGCGTGTTCGTGCTACCGGCACATATCCGCGTTCACGTGTCCTGCAAACGTCAGGTAACAGAAGCCCTGACCTTACCCTAGATTTGCGGACGAAAAAAAAAGGAAACTGCAAGCTCGTGCGCGGCGAAAGAAAAGAATAACGAAGAAGGGTGGTCGACAAATGAGTCAGGACCAGCTTCAGCGAGGTCTCTGCACAATTAACACCGTACGTGTGTGCCAGCACTAGATCGTGTGCCAAAGATTCCACGCGTGGAGACGAGAGGTTGAACGCGTTGAAATTTTCTTCCGTTCATAGAGGATGGAATTTTGCGTGGAAACAAAATCGATCGATTACGAGACTCGTGGTTAACTTTTTAACGCGTGTCCCTTTCAGACTAGCGTGCTTCCGGGACACTTATCGCTGTGTAGTGAAATAAGGAAAACGAGAAACGTGGAAAAACTCTGGTGCTGGAAAAAAGCACCTAACGACCCGTTGTCGGTAAGAGCATTACAGTTAATTATACTCGAAGTCGACCATTCATTAAACGAAAAGAAAAGGCACCACCAGACAGAGAGAGAGAGATAAAGAGCGTGCACGGTGCCAAGTGATAGAAATATGATCTCCTGGTGGTGATGGCATAATTTTGGCCCGCTATTCATCGCGGTCCTATTTAATAAAAATTCCTTACCGGGGCACTGTTCCAGTTACACCGGATCCTAGATTCTTTCCGGGAACCACGATCGATTTCGCGCCACGGTTTATTTATGCGTTCGTGTTCGCTTTCAGAAGCGCGTATTAAATTGTTATTTCTCTTGCAATAGATAATA